CTTTACACATAATTTGTGAATTTTTTAAGACTTAATCAGCTTTAACCTGCCATCATTACATACCCTTAAAGCACTGAGAAATTCTGCCTTCTTTTATCAAAATTAATAACATAGCAAAAGAACCGAAAAGTTAACTCCCCCCCCCCCCCCCCCCCCACCTTTCACCGAAAAGTTGACACGTTTTCTAAACTTCGATTTAGCCCAATTTAAGGAAATTGTTGACTATCTTGTCTAAAAAGTAAAGCGTTATATTTATTTATTTAAATCTTGTCTACATATCGTTACGTGTATAAGTCAAATACCGTGTGAATGAGTAAGATGAATCTCTAATCGTGTGTAGAATATGTGAATGAAGACGTTGATTCCGATTAAACACGACGATGATGTGGTGATTCGTGGCACGTCGAATAAGTTGAGTCATGATAAACGCGCAATGTCTCCAATTTGATAAAGATATGTAGACAAATTATTGCTTGAAGATATCTAATAGTATATTAAATATATATTTGACAACTTTTGAAAAGTTAAAAATACTTTTGAGTCTATTTGAATAATTTTCTATCTAGCCTAACATGGCTTTCTCTGCGAGAGAGAAATAGAAGTTATCCCAATGCCTAAATCAGGTTGTCAAAAAGTGAATTATTTAAATTTTTGGATGTTACGCAATATGTTACATAATGTTAAATGACAGTCTATCACTTGTTAATTTAAAATACATTCAATTTTGTCATCCAATCTTTTTTCTTCACGTCATATTATGTAATCACTCATGTACAATTTTGACATAGAAGTAGCAAAATCTTAAATTTTTAGGACAATTTCATTTATACCGAATTTTTTGTACCGAAAATGTTACACCCTCTCGCATGCGCATGAGGCCCGTATAAATAAAAAATTCCCAAATGTGTGGTCCTCGCACTCTATTGTGAGTGTAGGTAAAAGATTAGGTAAAAAGTGGATGTACGCGTACGATTGTCCAAATTTTTATATTAAGAGTGTGTTTGGTAGGGATTTTTAGGGGAAAAATTGATTTTTGAATAGTGATATGATGGGAAATGTGTGGTTGAAAAAGAAGAAAAAAGTATTGATGTGATGAAAAATATTATTTTATTGAAGAATGTGTGGTTGAAAATGAGAATTGATTTACTGTNTTTTATTGTTAAGTGCTTGTTTGATAGGGATTTTTGGGGGAAGAATTGATTTTTGAATAGTGATTTGATAGGAAATGTGTGGTTGAAAAAGAAGAAAAAATTATTGATGTGATGGAAAATATTATTTTCTTGAAAAATATATGGTTGAAAATGAGAATTGATTTACCGTAAAAAATGAAAATATGTGCCAAACATGGCCTAAAGTCTTTCAAATGCTCTTTTGCATGTGTTCTAGAGGCCATCTCCTTACTCCAGGCTACAGACTTCCTTTTCCCCCTCGGGTACACGCATACACGCATGAATATGTAAAAGCCATGGCATTTAAAAAAGATCAGGTGCTAGTGTGGCTTAAAGGGCAAGTTCAATCTGTTTAGTGGGAAGAACATGATTTTTTTTCTGGGAGGTTTTCATAGGCCGAGAATTTTGGGCTAATTATTGAGGAAATGGGTGTCGCTACTGTTGCTGAAGTGAAACCAATTATTTCGGGGAAAAGGGCATTTCGTCCCAGTTCAAGTGCAAAACATGTTACAGAATGGTAAATTTTCCCCTCAATTTTGTCACATTTTTTCGAAGAGTTTCATCTCAATGCTTGTTCGTTAAGTACATATTGGGCTCTGATGATTCTGCATTTGACTTGAAAACCCCATTGTTAATCTATTCCTGTTGCGATTTCACATTTTGCTGGATTTGAATTCCAAAATGTAGAAA